ATCCTGGCATGATGGCAAAAGGCAAGGTCTTGGAATGTATACGTTTAGAAATGGAGAAACCCAGTCTGGTCACTGGCAAAATGGGGTCCTTGACATTCCCAGCACACAGAGTGCCACCTATCCTGTTTCTCCTGTTGGTGTCAATCATTCCAGGGTACTAAATGCAGTGCAGGTACACTCTACATTTGTGACTTAGTTTACCTTAAGTTATTGTTTAGTGTTCTTTCTTGATTTATCATTAAAGAAAAGACGTTGGCCTAGAATGATCAGTCTGGATGGATTCAATTTTGTAGTTGGTGCTTTTCTATTTTGTGACAAGGGAAAATGGATGTATCAGTCTTCTGAGTACATTACTCTATCCTCTCTTTTGAGAGATGCTTAAACTACACTCCCTTCCCTTGAGCACCTTACTAATTTTCAACATAGAAAACCTAAACAATTATGAACTTATAAATGGGTCTCCCAACAAAAAATTTGGTATTCTTTTATAACTGTTATTATCAACTTTAGCATTTTAAATGGAAATTTATATAGCGCTATTATGGGCTTTGAAATTTCATAAACATTTTTATTTCATCTTCCAAGGTCATGAAATTGATAGTGTCAATCATGTCATGAATCAGAGCGAAACAAAAAGCTCTATAATGTTGTAATGGTTTTCTTTGGTTGTAATTCTGTCTCCAAGTTTGGTTTCTTATCTGCATATGAATAAGTGCCTTTTGAACTGAAATTCTAATAAAAAATGTAATGTTACTGATAGGACCATGAGGGTCTACGTTAGGAGAAAAGGGAATAAAAACAAAACATAGTCTGTTAGGAGGTGTTGGGGTTGTTAGGCTGTGTAGTCTCTTGGGGGTGTTAGCTATATAAGGGGGGAAGGTATCTTGGGACAGACGTTTTTGTATCTTTGTTGTGGACAGGTTTGTACCTGTGAGAAGGGAGATTGTTCACTTGGATGTTATTGAACAGTTTTTGTTACCCACTGAATAATACAAGGTTTTTTTTGCTGTAAGTGTGTGTTCTATCATCAAAACAGGGAAAGTCTTGGTTTCTTGTCACGAAGAAACCTAACAATTGGTCTGACTCGCCAGATCAAGAAGAACAAGAGACATGGAAGGAAGATTGAGTACATTGGAAAGATTGGCCAGCAAACAGGGAAGAGCCATAGACGAATTAAAGGAAGAAAATAGGGAGAGTTTCCATGAAATTAAAGATATGCTGCAGAAGTTAGACTCCCATAGAGCTATAACTGAAAGGAAGGACACTATTCAAGAAACCAGGGAGATCTTCCAAGAAATTAAAGATATGCTGCGGAAGCTAATAAGATCCCATGAAAGGGAATCTGCAGGCATCCAAAGCTCTGTGAATGGAGAGAAAAGAGGAAGGAGAGAGGTTCCTGAAGAAGAAATTGAGGTAGAAAGGGTGGAAAATCAGAAGTGCTGGAAAAAAAGAGGGGAGTTGTCCATAATTGAAGGGAATGGCACCCAAGGTCACACAACAAGGGCAACAAACGTTTTTGAAGTTCAGAACATCACAGGAACAACAGAAGTACACCTAACCATCAATAGCATGGAAGAAAATGCAGTCCAGAAGTACACCTGGCAACAAAAATCCAAGAACCTTTCTTGGGAAGATCTTGATGGTTAGTTTGGGGCTGATAATAAGTGCAGTGACATAAGCTGTTGCTCTAAGGGAGGATAATTTGACAAAGGTTGACGGGGAAAATACATCAGGTGAAGACTGTGATGGGAATGTTGTGACTCTTGCTTCTCAGAATGAAGTTGCAAAAGCTGCTGATTTTAGTGGGAAGAGTGTGGTAGGTCTTGGTGCGTATGTTAAAACAGTGGAGGAGGGTGAAGACTGAGGAAAGAAAGCAAAATGTGGTGGAAACATGGTGACTACTACTTTTGAGAATAAAGTAGAAGATGCGGTTGTTGAGTGTGGATGGTTATAAAGTGGTTGGTGTTGAGTAAGCAAAAGATGGGGGAGGCAGTGAAGAGGTAGAAAAAGACAGATTGTTCTGAGAACACTATGACTATAGGGGTTCCAATGGCAGAGACAAGTGAAAACATGGTGGTAGATGTGAAGGACTTCAGAGATGAAGGGTATGGTTTTGCTGTTGGTGATTTGGGTTGGGGAGAAGCCCATAGTAAAGCTTGGTGGCTTGGCCTAATTTATGACACACCTGATGACGCATTGAAGCTGGAACAAAAGAACAGATCTCTTGGTTACCTACTTTGGGCATGGAACCTATGCGGGGTGTCTTCCATCACAGTTAAAGCGTTTTGGGGACAACATTGATGAGAGGGTTAAACAGAGTAGCTGCATCGATTTTGCCAATGCTGTACAAGAAGCTGCAGAGGAGGTTGGAAGGCCTCTGTCTATGAAGCTGAGTGGTTTAGTCGTTCACAAGCAAACAGGTTCTGAATCTGAATCTACTCCTATTGGGGAAAAATTCTGGAATCAAGGAAGGAGTGGTTGTGCCTGAAACTGGCATAGATAGAGTTTTATATAGTCAAACTGAGCCAGCAGAATGACTTCCTCATGTGAATCAAATTGCACGAGTCAGTGATAGCGGTAGTATTATGGAGCTGGAGATCTTCAAGGCTTGACTTTCTTCATGTTATTTGTCAAAAGGGAATAAATCACCTGATTTTATGGATACCCAATTGGTGCCTGGAATTGGAAATAGTTTACTGGATGAAACAGTTGCTGTAGAAAACAGTAAAAGTACTACTGTGGAGGAAAGTATAGAAGTGCCTGGAATTGGAAACAGTCTACTGGATGAAACAGTTGCTGTAGAAAACAGTAAAAGTACTACTGTGGAGGAAAGTATGGAAGCATAATCCCTTACAGTATCCAGAAAAGTTAAAGCAACACAGATAAGTGCAGTGGCTGCTGTTCTGCAATATCCTCCAGTTTATATGGGGAAGTTTTGTGATAGCTCAAATTACCAAACTAAAGAAGACGATGGGAAGAAGGCCACCACAGCTGATGGATCTGCCCCAGTGGGATGAATTGGCTGATGGGAGATCAAGTCTTGCAGCAAGTGTTAATCCAAAGGCAAAAAGGAAGCCACATGGGAAGTTATGGCAACAATTAATAACCACTTTCTAGACTACAACCTTGAGGACAAGATTGTTTTTGCAGCGGTGAGTAATGATAGGACCATGAGGGTCTAAGTTAGGAGAAAAGGGAATAAAAACAAAACATAGTCTGGAGGTGTTGAGGTTGTTAGGCTGTGTAGTGTCTCTTGGGGGGTTAGCTATATAAGGGGGGAAGCTGTCTTGAGACAGACACGTTTTTGTATCTTTGTTGTGGACAGGTTTGTACCTGTGAGAAGGGAGATTGTTCCCTTGGATGTTATTGAACATTTTCTTGGTTACCCACAGAATAATACAAGGTTTTTCTGCTGTGAGTGTGTGTTATGTGTTCTGTCATCAAAACAGAGGTCTTGGTTTCTTGTCACCAAGAAACCTAACAGTTACACACACAGGACAAATTAGCCAGAATTTCCACAGGTTTCACCTACATTCAGGCGTTGTTGAATAAGATAATATGGTAAAAGTCCCCATTTAGTCAATAATTAAGGAGGTGCCACTCGTACTGTCTAAAGTTTTGGTTGTCTAAAATTTTTCCATATGGACAAAGCTGAGAGAATGTCAGAGACTTGAACATTGTCTTTTATATGTATCAAATTAGTTCATTTAAATAGAAGGAAAGAAGTGACAAAATTTACTGCATACAGTTTGTTTGCATCATGAGCATTCATGGTTAATAATTTGTCTGTTTCTGAACAAACAGGAAGCAAGAAGAGCAGCTGAGAAGGCCTATGATGTGGCCAAGGTAGATGAAAGAGTGAATAGAGCAGTAGCAGCTGCTAACAGAGCAGCCAATGCAGCTAGAGTAGCTTCTGTCAAGGCTGTGCAAAATCAAATGCATCATAATGTTAACAGCAAGAGCATACCAATCTCCATTTTGTGAGGGTATCAGCTGTAATTTTTGTTACACACTAAAGATGCACGAGATTGTTGGAAGAGAGCAAGCAGATTTATTATCCTCTGCCTTAAGGCTTGTATAGAGGGAGAAATGGTGATGGCTTCCACTTGGTAAAAATCTACATACATACATATACATATATATATATACATACATATACATATATATATACATATATATACATATATATATATATACATATATATACATATATATATATATAT